GTATCTACACTATATATATATATATATATATATATATATATATATATATATATATATATATATATATATATATATATATATATATATATATATAAATTTTTAAAAAGTCCACAAACTTCCATAATTAGTACAGTTAGTCTTAGTTAGTCTTTGATGGGATTCATGCAGATTACGTGTTGTCCCCAAATTGTTAATATGCTTCACAAATGTTCTGTGCATGAAATGAAATACTAGTAGCTTTAATGCGCTTATCCCACACAAGATTCTCATCTGTAGAAGTCATCGTGACGGCGATTTTCCCGCTGTTAATTTTTACCACCTTTTCTCACAGCAAAAAAATATTTCAAAATCACATCAAAACATTGTACTTTCTGATATTGTATTTCATTCACGTTCTCAAATAACCGCCCACAAAAGTCACTTTGCCATCTAAGAGAACATAACCAGCCTGACATCAGAAACCGAAATGTACATAAAAATATTTTGATTAAAAGACCATGGTCGTGGCGACAAAGGTCCAATTTACAACACGTCATAATCACATTGTACTACTCGTGAAGACGCACTAGCAATATCACATTAGACACTATAGTTATATTTTTCACAGTTCAGATTTACCCACTCAACCTCTTCTCCCAGTGTGGTGAAGATAACCATCATCCACATATTGTTTGTAACCACGGAAACCCGGTAACTATGTGCAACAATGTACAAGATGGATGTCATGGACTGAATCAATGGTTTCAATTTTACGCGGAACACGTGGATCACATGAGAAATCAGATATTCGCGTTTGCTGCTACACATACTGGAAACAGGTGGCACTTTGTCGTGAACGAAACCCGATAATAGAGGGCGTTTTAATTAACCGGAAAGGACGCTGAAATGCGAATTGAAGTCAAAAGGCGGTATGTCGTCCATCGGTACGGGCAATATCACAGAGTTTCAAGAGACCTACCATATACTTAGTCCCGATAACAACAGTGTATTGTATTTCGCACGAGACAGTACAAATACACATCCCAGCGAATCTCTAGCGGGACGAGACCTCAACAGTATTACCTGTAATGGAATATCTAGCCTGCTCACTGACGGAACTCGCATGGAATTCGACTACCAAGACGAAGAAGATGTTACCTGTATCTCGAGTCCCGATGTTACATGTTTCGCGAGTCCTGGTACCCGAGGTTCTCCTGCTCCTGGTGATGAAAGCCCACCGACGCCGTCTCCTACTGAGTATGTTACCGTCATATTTGGGGACGATCCGGTTGAAAACGAAGCGTCAATCTCGTCGGCTCTCAATATATTGTCCGCAATGGCTAATGAACCGATTGAAAAGCTTACGGAGAGCGACGCAAGCCACACCGAGAATAGCAACCAGCGGAATTTTGTTGAAATGATGGGAAGCGAACTTCCTAGCCCCTGTTTAGAATTTAACAGACATACCGTTGATACACCACATTTGACGGATACAAACAGAGACCTTACAAAATTCGTAGAGTCGGAAATGCAACTTGACAATATTGTGACTCTTTTAGGTGAAGACGGTGACGATATTAGTCAGGGTGTATCCCAAGTAAGTGCTGTAACGGGCAGCAGTCAAAACAACTTTGTAGAACCAGAAAATCCTTTAGAACATATCGTATCTCTTCTTGAAGCGAATGAAAAAGAAACGCATATACCGGACGCGTATGGAGAGCATGATAATGTTGTTGAAACGGAGCTACCACTGGAGAGCATAGTCTCCCTTTTACAACATAAAAATAACCAAACTATTTCTATTGCAGGCGGTGGCCAAACTATATGTGTAGAATCAGAAATTCAACTTGATAATGTAAATGTGGTCTCTCCAATACAACAGGTAGTAGAGCTACCGAGTTCAATCGGTCCTACAGAATCGATTGAAACACACGTGACTCGTGTCAACAAAAACATGACAATGTTTGTTAATGAACATAATAAAGTAGTATCATCGGTATCAATGCAAACCTCCAAGAACATTGTAGATTTGAATACAAATATATTCAACCAAGATGTACCACCATTTACGAGTAGGTTGGACAGAGATCAGAATTCCGTCGTAAATCCACTCAGAAATGCATTGTTTTCTATAGCAGAAGCTAATGAACCCAAGCAGGTTACGTCGTCGGTCACAAAATCTCTCGCCGACGATCCAACAGGCACCGCAGTGACAGAATGTAGGAACGGTGAATTCAGCAAGGATACGCTGCCATCTACTGATGCAGCGTCCAATGACGGAGAACCAGAGAGCACCACTGATACCTGGATACAACCAAACAATGTATATTCTCCGATAACACCGATTAGTAACGAATTCGACCAGTCAGACTCACCGTTAACGACAGTAGGCGATACAGAAATAAACCACAACAAGACATCCGAAACAGGGGAACAAAACAGCTGTATATTTCAATTCACAGAATTAAACGACAGTGAAGCCAAACGGGTTGTTTCGCCAGTGACAACTACAATGGACACAGAAATAAATCCAGTTAACTTCAAAAATTCACAAACACAAGTTGACAATACACCGATAGTATCGAATCATAATAAAGCAGACCATCCCGTGTCACAGTTGACGCCTAAAATCACAGGCACTTACGACAAGAATTCGAAGGTGGTGGATGGTACACTTTCTCCCAAAGCTGACCAAATAGTATCGCCATTGCCGCATGTCCACGAAAACTCAAAACACTCTGGAGCGTCTGAGATTCTACTAAACAGTCCTGTACAATCGAATAGCAACAACATTGACTCTATATCGCTGTCACCATTGAACTCTACAGTGGTCGTGGACGGAAACCCTTCATACGACCCATATACGGGAAAACGGCCAGGGAGTATCACGACTTACAACAAGGCTATATTTCATGACACTGACAGTAGATCGAAGTACGACATATATGAAAATACATTGCCTGATAATATATTTGCCTCTCAGGAAGAGCTTGAGTCAAATGGCAGTCACGAAAGCGACCATGATGCGTTGCCATTGACAAGCACAGTAACTGAGCCAGATGAACAACTCGAAAATATATGTTCCCTCCGAAAATCGAATGACAGTTTTGAAAGCGACCACGATGCGTTGCCATTGACAACCACAGTAATTGAGCCAGACAAACAACTCGAAAATATACGTTCCCTCCCGAAATCGAATGACAGTTTGGAAAGCGACCACGGTGCGTTGCCATTGACAACCACAGTAAATGAGCCAGACAAACAACTCGAAAATATATGTTCCCTCCCAAAATCGAATGACAGTTTGGAAAGCGACCACGATGCGTTGCCATTGACAACCATAGTAATTGAGCCAGACAAACAACTCGATAATATACGTTCCTTCCCGAAATCGAATGACAATTTGGAAAGCGACCACGGTGCGTTGCCATTGACAACCACAGTAAATGAGCCAGACAAACAACTCGAAAATATATGTTTCCCCCCAAAATCGAATGACAGTTTGGAAAACGACCACGATGCGTTGCCATTGACAACCACAGTAAATGAGCCAGATGAACAACTCGAAAATATATGTTCTCTCCCAAAATCGAATGCCAGTTGTGAAAGCGACCGCGATGCGTTGCCACTGACAACCACAGTAATTGAGCCAGACAAACAACTTGAAAATATATGTTCTCTCCCAAAATCGAATGACAGTTTTGCAAGCGACCGCGATGCGTTGCCATTGACAACCGCAGTAACTGAGCCAGACAAACAACTCGAAAATGTATGTTCCCTTCCAAAATCGAATGACAGTTTTGAAAGCGAACACGATGCGTTGCCATTGACAACCACAGTAATTGAGCCAGACAAACAACTCGAAAATATATGTTCCCTCCCAAAATCGAATGACAGTTTTAAAGGCGAACACGATGCGTTGCCATTGACAACCACGGTAACTGAGCCAGACAAACAACTCGAAACTATATGTTCCCTCCCAAAATCGAATGACAGTTATGAACATGGTCATAATGCGTTGCCATTGACAACCAAAGTAACTGAGGCTGGTAAGCTGAAAAAAATCACTGACACAGAAACAGAACGAGAAAATATATGTGCCCCCAAACGATCGAATGAAAATTGTGAAATCGACCATGATGCGTTGTCATTGGCAACTGCTGCAATAGAGACTGGGGAACCAAAAAACATCACAGATTCAGATAAACTACTTGATAATACATCTACACAAAAAGAATTGAATGAAATTTGTGTAACCGACCACGATGCGTTGTCATTGGGAACTTCTGCAATAGAGACTGGGGAACCAAAAAACATCACAGATTCAGATAAACTACTTGATAATACTTCTACACAAAAAGAATTGAATGACAATTGTGAAACCGACCACGATGCGTTGTCATTGGCAACTACAGTAACAAAGACTGGAGAACCGAAAAAACCCACAGACACAGAGCTGCGACTAGGTCATATGCCTCCTCAAAATGAATCTAATGAAAGTTGTGAAACTGACCAGGATGCAATGTCATTGGCAACTGCAGCAACAGAGACTGGAGAAACGAAGAACATCATAGACACAGAACTACAACTCGAAAATGTATTTCCCCGAAAAGAATTGAATGCAATCGACCAGGCTGAGTCGCAATTGATCGCTTCAGTAAGTGCTGACAGAGAACCAAACATTATCACGGAACCAGGGACAACACATAATACAGTTTCACCGATATCATTGACTGGATCCGACAATGTGTCAGCGCTATTACCTACTACGCAGGGTATGGACAAAAACACTGTCGCAAATACTTGTACTGGGTTAACCCTCAACTGTTACAGTAACATTTTCTCAATAGATTTTGAAAATGACTTCCAGCACACTGCCTCGCCACTAATGGATGCAACGGTCGATCGTAGCGGCAAAACTCCTGATTCACGGACACAAATTGACGACCCGTCCATTACAATTGAAAACACTGAAATCGCGAACTCGCTGTCACCATTATCAAACATGAACTCACCTCTCGTAAATTCTGAATTGCAACTAGACGCTACGTATTCATCAATACAGTTTAGTGATGATGACGACGATGGATTAATAACACCGCTGTCAAGTGCATCTTCCGAAAATGGCGACCCAGCGGACTCTCAGACTTCAACGATGCATCTCAACACATTTTCCCCGATATCTAACGAAGATGCATCCGGTGATGTTGCCCCGCTTTTATCGCCAAATACGAACCCCGATAACCTGGCTAGTCCGTGGATAGAACTAGACAGTACATTCTCTCCGGTACCAAACTATAAGAAACCCGAAGACTCTGGCGGATCTGTATTATCCAATGCCAGTACAATGGCCGCATACGGTGACGAAGACGAAAATAGTGTAGATTCTGGAATTATGCATTTATTTGGTACATCCGACGCTACAGAAAACGAAAATAGCAAAGATGCATCGGAAATGCCATGTTTACCGTCCCAATCACCATTACATATCCCGAGAAAAACGTGTAAGCGTAAATTATTGTTATGTCCAATAGAACAAGAACCGAAGAAAGCGGCTGTGGAATTTGACGACGAAGAGCTCCCCATTTCCGAAACTGGTCAGCAAGTGAGTCAAAGGAGCGATTGGATAACTCAGTATTTGAAGAAGGTAGAGGCCTGGGAAGAAAAGAAGGCGGACGTATCAAAAAGAAAAACATCGTCGACACTAGATGTTAGCGGGGAAAAAATAAATTTATCCAAAAAGAACCGACAGAATGCCGTGATATCTATACCTTCCGCGAAAAGATCAGACATAGAACTATCTGAGTGTACAGAACCAGAAAATAGCGGGACGGAATCCGCGGATACAGAATTTGGAGATCTTGACGAAAGTGAAAATGAGTGTTCTCAAAAAACATTTTCATACGACGACACGTGTAGTATTCAGAGAAAACGACCGTGGGCGGCAGACGGCGATGAAAGAGACGACGACAGGTGGAGTATTCAGAGAAAACGACCGTGTGCGGTAGACCGCGATGAAAGAGACGACGACATGTGTAGTATTCAGAGAAAACGATTGTGTGCGGTAGACCGCGATGAAAGAGACGACGACATGTGTAGTATTCAGAGAAAACGACCGTGTGCGGTAGATAGCGATGAAAGAGTCGAAAAGTTGACGGACAAACGCGTGAAAAGAATCAGATTCGAAAACGAAGACTATACATCAAGTTCCCATGGCAACGGTTCAGATGAGGATGGCAAAACTGCTTGTGCCATGTATCTGAAAGGGATGTCTATCAAGAAAATAGCAATGGACCTAAATAAAACAGGACAGTGGGTAAATAATTGGGTTTGTATCGGTGAGGAGAAGATAAATAAAAATAACAATAATACTGGTGACTATGATCTTGCTAAGAATGACAGGAAACGAGCCTATGAGATGCATTTAGCGGGGTTATCTAATACACAAATCATGAAAGAACTTGATAAATCACGTGCTTGGGTCATAAAGTGGATCAAAGAGGGGAAAAACTATAATGGTCAGCATGCAAATGATAAATCTAGAAATGTGTGTGATGAAAACAACCTTTGCACACACAATGGAAAGAAAAAGTGTCAGTCTGTGAACTCTGTTCGATTAGAAAATATTAGAAGGCAGAAGAGGAAGAACCTTAAGGCAAAAGCTTTATTAAGTAAAGCCAAAGGGAGATTCTTATTTGACATTCGAACCAATAAGGTATCTAACTCTGAATCTATGTCATTCAGTGACGTAAACAAAGAAGATAAAACAAGACAGGGGGAAGACAGCCTGCCCATCAACAAGACTGATAAGCATTTTAAAAAAAATGACCAAATTGGTATAAAACGAAAACGAGGTCGACCACCATCAAATAAAAAGGACAAGAAAAAAGTGTGGGACGTGCCGTTGTTTGAACTCTCTCACGAGAAACAGGTTGAGAAAGCAGAATCTCTGCGAAATAAGGGATGCACTACCCCCGTGGTTGCTAAGCGATTGGGGTGCTCGCATTCATACGCCTCAATATTGCTTTGTTCGGGAGTTCTTGAAAATCAAACCCCATCAATGCAAACTGAATCAGCATCAATTATTGCGGTGAAAAAGAGACTTTGCAAAGCAGAACCAAGAATACACCTTATTAGACATAAACTTTCGGAGGGCGTGACTACAGTACAGTTGCATGATGTTGATTATGTACCTATATTACAGATATCATCATTACAAAGTGTGAAGACTTCAAATTCAAAGCTAGTATTCTCTATATTATTTATTTCTTATTTACAAATTATGCTAATATCATGTGGTTTTTACAATGTTATCATTTTCGTTATCGGCAAGAATATATGTGGTGTATAATACTACGTTTTATTTTTGCTATTTTGCATAACCCAGTAAGTACTTAAATTACAGTTAAAGTGAACTGAAATCTATCGTTTATTTATCAAACCAATCTTGCATGGGTTCATTCATGGAAAACCTCACCACTAGTTTATTATTAGGTGAATCTTTTTATAGATAATTCTTTTAAAACAAATATTTTGGATGATTTGTTCAAACGTCAGATATGTAAAAAGTACGTAATTTTATAAAACCAAAGCAATTCATTGATACAAGTATTGAATAACTATTGAATTAATTTGAGAAGCTTTTTTTCAGGGAGGATTCTGATGATCTACATCATAAGTACTGAGGGAGTGTGTATGTCTTCCTTCCAGACAATTATATTTTAATATTCATATTGTCAAATAAGACGAAGGACCCTCGTATCTTATACTTAATAATAATTTTATTTTTATACTTAATAATTTTATAACACTTCTACCATGGCACAGAAAATACTTAATGCAAAATTGTTTACACATATAATGATTAACTAGATTCTGGTTTAATAACTAATATTATTCAGATGTTCAGATTAACTGGGCATTCTCTCTAAAGTTTTGAATACCCCTCACTGTCATATGCCATTTGGAGGGTTTTGTACCAGACAATCTGCTAGCCGTGCACCTAAACCAGATTCTGTCATGGCAAGTACCACTACTATGTAAGTGTCTGTTGGACTGTGTGAAGTTACTTATTTAAATTTAATGTCCATATGGTTCTGACAGGTTTGGAAAAGAAAATAATGAAAAATTTAATTTGTGGTAAATTGGTAGATTTTTTACTCAAATTGAAACAAATCATATTCAGACAATTTCAGCTTAATTTATGCAAGGCATGGCTAACATTGTTTTGAATTTATAGTTAGAATAATTTGCCAAGGAGATAATCCACTGCATATGTGAAGATAATCCATTTGGGGTCATGGTGTTAAGCAGTGAATGTTGTTTATCATGTTTTCCACAACTATATTGAGATTTGTTTGTGGGCACATTTGTTTTTAATCACTGGGCATTTAGAAATGCACATGAGAACTAAGAAATATAGACACATCCTCCCATACACACATATGCACACATTTACTACAGTTTTTTTTATTAGTCCCATATTTTTATTCAAATTACAGTGTTAAATTGATCATAGTGATTTCTTTTTTTAAATCTGTAAATTGAATTAGGTATATGGTAGTCTCACTTCATATTTAGAATTTAAAATGTCCAGTAGTAATAGTAATAATCATACAAAGTGATCTTTATAAATTTAACATTCAAGAACGTTTTCAAGTTTGAATTGCAGGGTTGAATAGTAATAAACAAAGTAGATAACAATTTGGATGTAGATAGTCGCCTAGCAGTCAATAAAGTTAATACCGTAGCATAACTTGATAAAAGCAGAGTGTGATTTATTGCAAACTAAAAAACTGTAAAATGACTAATTTTCACTGGGTTTATCTTTTCAGGCATATTCAGTGGGTTTTAAATTCACGGTTTTAACATTTAGATAATATGTTTTATGCTAAATTTTACATATTCACTGGGTTTTAATTTAGCGCATTTTCCAGTCAGCGAAATAAGCCAAATTAAAACTCAGTGAATAATTAACCATTTTACAGTACCGGTAGTTGTTTGGCAGCAAATATAGTGTTCATTTGAGATATTGAAAATGCTATTACAAGTACAAATGTACATTTCAAATCATCTTTACATATTAGGTAATTCCACATTTGTGTTTCACATTATTCCTTCGAACAAATACAGCTCTATGTTTTCAGTCTATCTCTCCTATCAAAACACAATAAAGTTATTTTAAAATACTCAAAATTATTTGTATAATACAATATTTTGTCTCATATTCTAACCCTTAAACAAACAATAACAATAAATACACTGTACAGAACCATGTTTTCTAAATAAACATCATCTTTGAGTTACACACTTAACAAACAATAACAATATAGTCAGACTTTATTGTGTAAAACTTAATCACTGAATGTAGTAGCACATGTTTTTACAGAAATGACAGTGTGTCTATGGTCAAATGACTTTTTAATGTTCAAGCATTTAATTAATGTAATCTTTGGTGTATATGACTTTTATTAGAACTGTACTTCTAATAGGGAAAATATGGTATTGTCGCTATGAACCATGGTGCCTTACAATAGAATGGTGCTTGTCCGTTTTTTTTCCATGTGCACATATTTCAGTGCATAATACTAGTATCAATATTTTGTGTCAAAATATGTCTACAAATATTTGTTTTAGTATTAGTCAACATTGAGTGAACTTTTTGGTTTACTGTCTTTTGAGAAAAATGAGAAATTAATACACATAAAATACAGACCACAATAAAAACACATTTCCTTGCTATAAAACACACTTAATTATTGTCAAGTTTTTAATACTTCTAGATATCAAAAAGTACTTTGTAAGACACTATATATCTTTTTTTGTATCACTGAGCATAATTTTGAGATATATTCTTGCCATAGAAATCAATGGTAAAACCTAAAACAGTCAAAACATTCTATTTGTACTGTATTATATTGATGGTTTTCTCTGAACTGAGTAAGGAGTATCACATTTTTTATTTTATTTTGTCATCCTTGTACAGGATAGATCAAATATGTAACAAATGAAAATTACATTTTTGTTTTACTTTTGTATATTTACTGCATTCAATCTGATAAAATATGAGTTGACCATCATAAAATATGCACAGCAAAAAAATCCTACTGGAACAATGAAAAAAAAACTAAGTTTATAACAGAAATGTCATGTAAATATTATAACAAAGCCCAATAACTGTTTAAACTAATGTCATTATGGAAATAAAAATCTTGTCCAAATCCATCTCTTCTTTTAGAGTCAACCAACGGTCAATCTCTCATTTATTAAAACTTGTCAATATTTTTGCTTGAGGATCTTTGTATATTTATTGTTATCTCTTGTCATATGCAGATTACCTTGTCCCGTTATTGGCACAACCAAATTGTCAGATTCCACATGGGATGGCATCATTTTAGTCACTGATAAATTGTCTAATCTTGATGACAGTTTTGAATTCTTAAAGAAACCATTAGAGAAGCTTAAACAGGTAGGTTGTTTATTATTATTTATTTATGCTATGTTGAAGGGATTTTTTTTTGTGTATTACGGTACTGATATATCCACAGATATGCTGATTTGTTTTTAATGACTTAAGACCAGTGGAAATTTTGAATTGTGGACTATTCTATTATAGAGTCTATTATACAAGCAATTACATGACTAAAAAATGTATATTGGTAAAATGAAAACTATGGTGAGATAGGGACAGCCATTTTGTAATCAATATTTGTTTTTGAAACATGTACTCAATAAAAAAGATGAAAATTACATCTTAAAATACAAATTTATTAAAAAAATAAATTTAAAATAGGTGAAAGTTGTTTTGTTTGTTATTCAGTTGTATGTTTTCTGGTAAATTATAATTCCAGCTTTTATCAGATTCTTCAAATTCTGAAGAATTATATTAAAAGTGAAGATTTGTAATTAAAAACACAAAATGTTTCCTGTATAAAAGTTTCTAGCACCAAAGGTGTATATCCATTCTTCTTCTTGAAGTAAATAAACCACATTCATCTGTACAAGATCAGTTTCATAACCTCCCCGATTGTGACATTTTATATGACAGCATTTTATAAAACCCAAATTTTAGCTCTACATCTCACCATTGTCATGTGTTTCAGAATCTAGAATTATTCATTTCGGAAACTTGTTATTTTCTTGTTAGAAAAAAATGATCAATAAGACTAAAGCCCTATAGTTCAACAAGTGTTTTATAATATGTAATTATTATGTGTGATTTATTTAATTTATTGTATTAATAATTGTCTGTATTTTTAGTTTGTCATATTATACCTTTAACAATTTTCCCTCTAAATTATTGATGCAATATTTTGTGAATTTTAATATATTTTTCTATAATTTTTTTGTTAATTTTGAACCAAATTGATAAAATTTCTCACTACCTAAAGATTTTGATCATTTTTTTTTTCAAATATAAATAAAATTATGTGGGTTTATTTTGTGAAACATGACAAAACTTGAATTGGCAGTTCAAAGTTGTGCATATACAAATGACTAGTGGAATCTTTGTTGATTTGTTTAAAACAACACTGGATTTAATGCAAAAACGACTCAAATAGAGGATTCTGATAACAAATTGAGAGCTTAAATTTCTGTGTGCAGATTATTCTTTTTTTACATAGAATTTATTCATATCACTGAAAAAAAGGGGGCAAAACAAATAATCCATTTAAAATAGATTTTTCCAATAATTTGCATTTAACTCATCAAACAGAAATAGAATACTGAAAAATGCTAAAATAATACATGTTTTAGAAAACATGCATGTCTAATCATTATTCAAATCACTTATTATGACTTAAATAACTTCAATGAATGAAGAGTGCCTGAATAAACAAACCTTGACAGAGAAGATGTCCAACATGTGAAAATTAACAATAATGAGCAATATCTCAAACACTCAAGATTAGTAACAAGAATTACATAATTTCAAAAGATTGTACTGATACAGAAAATTTAGTAATATTAAAAATAAAAGATAAAAATATGTTATAGTAATAAATATATATTCAATGCTTCAATATTAGGGTTGAAATGATAAGTTTATGAGAACACACCAGCTGACCCATAACATCAGTAATCTAACTATAAAAATATCGTTCATTTCTCATTATTTAATTTTCATATTCAATTTAAATTTCTGAACAACAAGTTGTTAAATATGAAAAATGTTATATTAATACATTTTATTTATTATAAACATTATATATGCCAAGCCAATATTGCACCAAAAATAAATTACAGAAATAAAAAAAAATATTAAAAGTATTTAATCAGGTTTTATTAATCACACAACTTTGACATTTTGTACCTAAACATATTGTCTCATACGACTCCCTATATTACACATTTCCTAGAAATCTTGGGTACTACATATGCTCTAATTCAATTAATCAAGTATTCCGACTCAAATACCCATGCTGCTCCTCTTTTCCAAAAACTAAGAATACTAGACATTTTTTCAATCAGCAAATTACAAACCTGTTGATTTGTCTTTGATCTCAGTAATAACTATTTTGTACATGATATTTACAATTATTTAAATCTACTGTCAAACCCGCTTAGCCTGTAGCTTGAATTATTATACTCCAAAACTGAATCTTACATTCAACCAACACAGTCAAAAATACTCCACAACAAAACATTGGAACTCATTGCCTGATACATTTAAAACCATCACTAAGAGACATATATTTAAAGCAAAATTAACATTTTTCTTTCATTCTTTATTTGAAGATTTATATGGTTAAACTATAAAATTATATATACAGGGGTTACGGACCCGACTATTTCTGATGAACTATATCTTTAATCCACACCAAAAATAAAAAATAAATATTATAAGTAGCATTTATTACTTATGTTTATTACATGTACTTATACATTTAATGTTGTTTTTATTTTTTTTGGTGATTCAGAAATAAATTTCATTCCTTCATTCAAACTTAATTGTATTTTAATCAATAGGAATAGATAACAATAAAGGTTACATTATACAATTACATCAAAATCTTATTAATAATATAAATTAATAAAAATAAATTCCAGTGAAAGTACAATAATTGAACTATTATTTGCTTTACGTACATTCCATTCATTGATCAGTGTTGGTAAACAAACATTTTTGACTGACATGCATATCTGTACTTGCAATACCAAGAACATATGATATTCTACAGTATTTTATTTAACACATTGAGACATAAAGAAATAGTGAAATGTATCACAACATATTGTAATTTCAATGACAAATTCAATATCAATAAATATCAATAAAGCACACGCAGACAACAAACTTGGTGAATAGAATTATCTGTAGCATTTGTACTCAACAAAAGGCTGTCTCATGCATAAAATCTATACAATGGTCAAATTCAATTCAATGGCCGGCCATAAAGTCACTTCACTGTGGAATAGGTCAATTCTAAGATTTTTATAAATTAAAAAATTAAATAACATACTGTTTATAAAAGGTTGATTACCATGGTTTCATTGACAATGTTTCTATAGTTTATTTATGTTTTATTCACAGATTGATGAAGCGGTTGAGAAAGAGACAGTAGTTGCCAGCCTCAATGGCCACCCCGCAAAGAGAGTTATATTTGCACCAACAGGACCATTAGATCGGGACTATGACGATGTAAGAAGGTTTGCTGAAGCTGCTGGTAACGGACTCAAGAGGTGGGTAATCCACAGATGGTACATTGTGTGCTAGCATTAATCAGATTATTTAGATTTATCTTATCAACTGGCACAAGTTTTACTGTTTGTTTCAATTTTAATCATGAATGTGATTAAATCTGTACAGGCTGTTCATATCATAGCAGAAAACCCTCTAAATGCCAGTGTATAGTGACAACCCATATATAAAGTATATGAAGCTGTTTTGTTTCTAAATAAATTAATATGTACATTGAAATGTTTTAATTGACTGTGTGACTGTAGCTTAAAAGCAAAATAATGTTTCACTTGTATCAAATATATATTGGGCACTCTAGAAAATGATCATGTATTTCCAGAAAATTATTAATTCTGGATAATGTTTTTTAAATTGATGTAAGAATAAACATTTTCAAATTAACCACAAAATGTGACCTTTGATGGAATTAAATGTATAAATCATGGATGAACAGAAAGTATTTATACTGAGTGTACCAGATTGTAAGTTTCATGTGACTTTGTTCAATATAATGTATTAATGGAGATCGGGTAAATTTCCTGGCTTGTCTGTTGATGGATGGTTAAATACATATCAAAATGATTGAAATAACATACATGTATTTATTATGAACAAGATTGCTTTCCCTTCAAAGACGATTTTTATTATTATATTATTAAGGTAGAGATGCAGTTTACCCAACAGGTATTTTAATTAGTTAATTAAGAAACCAAGATGACCGACCTCCCTTGTCCACAAAACTATATATTTTCGGAAAGCTTATTGTATGAATTTTGAAATTTTGTTAGTATTTTTTTTTATGAACACTGTAATTTGAAATATGCACAAAAATGTGCTTTTTTGGTCAAAAGTGATTCACAAAAAAAATGGGCTTCTAAACCATGCTTTTGTTTCCGGTCAAAATTGGTTTATGGGTACAATTGTATACTATGAAGAAAATGCCGTCTTGAAAACTGTCTACCAGTTGTCAATTTGGCAGGGCAGCAACTCAAATTTCACTACTTCAAGTTTATGCATAAATTGACACCCAGGCTAGTTGTCTGTACGATTGTTGTAACACTGTTCAACCAAAAACAATGCCCCGATGTTGTTTTGAAGATAAACACATTATCAATCATTCGTGAAAATTTCAAAACAAAAGGTCAAAGCGTCTAGGAGCTTTTTTTTTTTAAAGTTCTGGAATGTGCACTAAAAAGAAGCTGAGATTGCTAATTTGCATAACAATACACTCAGTAAGAAGTTTGCTAATGCTCATAATTAAAATGGCTGTAACAGTTCCAAATTTAAATGTATTATCGTTTTGTTAAAAGTTAAATATAGTGCATAATATGGAGATCCCGTCATTTATTTTTTTCACCATGTCTCTTTTTTATTATTTATGTACAGCCTTGCTAAATCTTGCTAAGCATTCAAAAGCGATAAAGTTTGCACCTGTTATCTATATTTTAAAATCATTTTTTTATCTATGTTCTACTATTCACAATTCTACAAAATGTTAACAGTCTATAGCCAAGACTGTTTGGATAATAAAAAGCAAAAAAAAGTGCCCATGAACCTTAAACAATTATTATTGCTGTTGAAAAGCAAATTTCAGCAATTTATAGCTTTCAGTAGAAAAATGCAAAGAAAAATCTAACTAATCATATTAATTGTACGATATAAAAAAAAAAGTTGTTTCCCATAATCATACTCAAACTTTTATTTTATGCAAATTAGCCAATTTATATTTTATTTTATGCAAATTAGCCAATTTATATTTTATTTTAATGCAAATTTTCCATGTTTGACTCACAAAAATGACTTTGTTTCTTTACTTCATTGACGTAGTGAGTATGACTGGAAGGAAATCTACTATTATGACTAAATGTAATTGGCAGTCATTCTTTCTTCATCTTAAGTCAGTATTAGATGATTGGTAGTGAATAACTTGTTAAAAGTTCATTTGAAAAAAATAATAAAATAAAATAAAAAGCCTCTCTGTCTACCCAATATTAATTTAGCCCAACTGTTTTTTAATGATACTATCATTCAAAACATTCACATATTCACCATATTTGAATGCTGGTTATTGTTATGGTTTTCATTAAAGGGGCACTTTCAGTTAAGCCTAATCTCACAACAAATTTACTTTCTGGATTAAAATTACAATGGATAACAAAAGATAGATTAACTTTGTCAACAACATAAATAATAGTGTCCCATGACTCTTTAGTGCAATCCCTGGGATTGAGCGGTTCCCCTTTAATCACCATTATTCACCTGCAGTAACTTCAAACTAGAGTGAACCTGGCTTAATCCTGAAATATTTTCTACAATTCATGCATATTGATCAAAACATGTGTCACATAATGGTATACACCAATAAATCTAACAACATTAATGCAACTTAAAACAATTTTTAAATCAAATCACGAGAACATTGTAAAATCACCTAATTTTACCAACTAATGAGTAATCTCTTAACAATATTGACATGTGTCAGTAATGACAGCCAGCAAGTGCATAATTACAGAAAATACAATGTATTTAAAAATTACATCTCATTTCATTAATATCTATTGCACAAGGGGAAACAGAGTCATATGTAATGTCAAATGGAAGCATTGCATACTCTGGATCAATGCACGAATTATTGTATAAATCTAGATGTGGAATGAATAACAGCTTGCGACAAGATTGATTTAAATCAATAGCGATTACATTGTTCTTAACAAGATGCTAATATCTATCTATGTATTCACAAGCCAAGATTTATTTCTTCGGCCGTCATCTCACCATTATAGCTTGTTAGAATTTCCACCATAAACATAGTGTTCACTGTTGACAAAATCAAACACAACACATGCTATGGTGTGTTATATGAAAAATAGAACACACATCATCTGTCGGGATGCGTGTTTCCATGCGAAATTGAATGCAATGTTGCATGTTTTTGTCAGTTAAGCTAGTTGGTTCAAATTTGAAATTATTGCAAGTAATACAGGAATGCTGATTGATGGATCTCTGCAGTTTCTCAGCACACCCATCAAATCATTCAATCAACATAACGCTCATGGATGGTTGCATGGCTTCTGCATGAAACCATGCAAATAGACGAATGGTGTATAAAATTAACATTATTGAAAAAAGCTGTCGTGTATGTGATACTAATGATATTGAGGATGAAGAGCACTTTTTGTTATATGTCAGCTATACAAACATGAAAGACAGATCCTTCTAAACACAATTAGACAGTGTTCTGAGGGAAACACTGATACAAGCTTTATCAACATACTAGGCACAAAGAATAATGTCATGCAAAAATGTCTAGCAAAATACATATATGAATGCTTCAACCTAAGAGAAAGCAAAATAAAAAGAACAGCTGCCTCACAGATATTCAAATAAATAATTTTTACATTTACTTTATATATATGCATTTGTAACTCATTTTCAGACAAGTTTGCTGCTGTTTTTTTATTTTTGTTTTGTTTTTTCTGATTGTTTTCGACATGGAATGACAACCATGTTTTATTGTACTTGATCTATGTCCATTTTT